ATTTGACTCAAACTGTTTGAAATGGCTACATAAAAATCGTCTTGAGGCTCATTCATGGGAAGTTAGGGATGGAATTGTAATCAATTCTTATAGAACACAAATTTATTGAATTGAGTTCAATTAAAATAAATTGACCACTATGCCTTGATTTGAATGTGAGATTTTTACTTATTAATATAACAGATTAAAAAAATATTGTATCCATGAAAATTACATAATACTTAATACCTTTTTAAAACGTAATAAAAACTTTCATTGTTTTGTATTTAGATTTTAGTAATTATTTAATGGATTTCAAAGCTATATCATTTGAGTTAAGTGATGTCACCATCTAACAAACATCTTCATGTCTTTCATAAATCTCCTAGCGTGTTGTTTTGTGTCGATTTAACTCAAAGTCCTGACAAGAGACAAAGCCATTCCGAGTCAAAGACTTGTAAAGTGGCAACAATATATACGCCTTTGACAGTAAAAGGATATTGCTTTTTCACTTTTACGTCTAATTGTATTCAGTCGTTTTGTACGAAAAATAATAAATCACGAAATAAATCATTAATTGAATGTTGTTGGCTTAACAATAGTGTTCATCCATAGATTTCAGAAATAATCCAGAGAAAATGTGTTATGTGATATAAATTCAATTCTTCAGAAACAGAACCGGACCGTACAGGTAATTATACAGCACATATGGAAATTTAATAGATTATATTTATGTTAATGCCACGAATCAAAGGATTTTCACAGTGGAACTATCAAAGTTTTATTTTTTATAGCTGTTCATGAGAAGGCATGAGTGATTCAAGGCGTTGGGAAAATAACTCAATGTCCTTGCAAACAATTTCAACAATAAATCTTTCAGGGTATGACCCATAAATTCATAGTGTGAATTAGAATGTCTTGAATTTGGGTTTTTGTTGAGAAATACTTTGAAGTGCTGACATAACTAGCTCTACTCGGAGCAAAGGATGAATGTTTAGTACATTTGAATAAAATATACCAGAGAAGTAGATATAAATCAGAAAATTAATAACGAATTAATTAAAAATAATTTGGATTTCTATCATAGACACCGTATTTTATGTATGTGATATTAGTAGTAATAGTAACATATGATTTTTTATGTTGTCAAATCACATAAGGAATTTTTCTGATGCAACCTTTGTGAACGATCCATTGAAAATGTCTGATGTTTCAACGAACACACTTTGCAATTTAATATATTCTCATAATAAATCCTGAAACCAACGTCATTGACTCTAATAATTATTTTTTAACGAATTTAACAGTTGAATCACCTTTTTACCAATGGTATATCTCTTCGTATATATTTTCAGCCGTTTGAGTGTAAACTAGTATAAAATGTTCTAATTTTTTTACGACATAAATTGTCTAAGATATCATATGACTTTTGAAACCAACTAACTCAAACAAAATTGCCTGGATAGCTAAAAAATTACAAAGCTCGCCTACAAACCTAAAGATCTAAATACCAGGGGTTATACCATACTATTACCACCAAACCAATAAATAAGCAATGGTGTTGAAACACAATAAATTAAATTTAGCATTCTACAACACATCAGCCATTATGGTCCAGTCCAAATATATTGATTAATGACCCAACCTCCGAAACAATCCGAAAGCTTTGAAACTTTGCACACATATTTCTAGGTACCTAGGGAAGATTATACCAAAAATCCCCATAAATATGAGGCAAACTCTAGCGGAAATTAGTGAAAACAGGGCACCTTTTTTGGGTTTTGGCTAAAATCTCGAGAGCCGTTGGTTGAGGTAAAAAGTGACTGTATAACAAATAAAAGAGCATTAAATCTTCAACTAAAATGATACTTACACTTTCATTTTACTCCTAATGGTTACTGAGTTATAGGGCCCTAAAATATGGTGTTTTTTCTCAACGAAATACACAATTTAGTTTGCACCATTGTTCTTACCCCATGGAAATTTAATGTTCTTTCATTTGGCATACAGTAACGTTTAACTCCGACCGACGGTTCTCAAGATTTTAGTCAAAAACTAAAAAGGGTGCCCTGTTGTCACCAATTACCGCTAGAGCTCGCTTTATATTTATGGGAACTTTTGGTATAACCTTCCCTAGGAACCTAGAAATATGTGTGCAAATTTTCAAAACTTTCGGATTTTTTTGGAGGTTAAACCATTATTTGACTGGACTATTACCTGAGTGGTTATGGCAAGTGTGATCAGCATGCAAAGCAGAGAGGCACTTCTAAGGAGGCTTCTGAACGTAACTACAATTGAAAACCGATAAGTTACAGTCACAGTAGCTTGTTACGACTACAAAAGGTGAAGCGTTCCTTTGTCACCCCTCTAAGCTGGACCTTTGCCAAGTTCCTCTTTGACTAATTTTTATATTTTCGGTTGAAAATATTAGGATGCGTTGAAAAAAAATCTATAAAATTACAAGTTTTGTCGAACGATTTCCAAGTTGTTCTTTGACTAATTTCCATATGATTACGTAAAGATTTGTGGAGTTAAAATACATAAAATTACAATCTCTTGTATACAATTCCGTGTGAACTGCTAAGAGGCATTTGAATGAGGCAGTTTTGTCCTTTATTGCAGGGTTTATTGTTATCTTTGTGGTTATAGTCGCCAAAGTGTTAAATCCGGAAATTCCCCGCAATTAAAGATCATATCAACCCATTAGCTATCAAATCTTGCCCCCAAATCTTGCGGGGATATTTTGTAATAACCATGGGTGCAACTCAAATATGTGATACACTACTACATAAGCTTAATAATATTTACTAATAGAAATTACATAAATTTCTTTTGTCTAACTCTTAAAAACTTATTTTGGGTAATCAATTTGTAAATTACGTAACAAGTTCAGTTTTTTATTCGATTTTATTGTCACCTGTTTCAGGATTACAAAAACACTCTTACATAAATCATAAATACTTATTTATTGTAATCAATTTGTAAATTATGTCACAAGATCGGTGTTTTAATTCGATTCTATTGTCACCTGTTTGAGGATTACAGCAAATCCTTCAGAAATCCCACAAATTATTTAAACTCGAATAGTTAATAATTATGTACTACAAAACTAATCTGCATATTAAATCAGATAAATATATTTTAAGTGTTTTTTTTATTACTATGTTAAATTATGATAAGGAATGAACCCTCACAAACTGAAAACGTAAATCAAAAATTATTTGCCCTTTCTTTATTTAAAGTTCAATTGTTAAATGGTAAAAGCAACATGTAAAGAGGGGCAGATTTATTTGCATAACAAGTATTAAAATGATTACATTCTCTCTTTATAATAAACACGATGATTTTATATTACTAAACGTTGCGCTCTTTCGGTGTAAACAAGGCCTGACGTAATAAACAATTCCAACTTTACTTCAGAGTCAACAAAATATGTCAACAAAGGCAGAAGCAGGAGGGTAAGTTAAGCGATTAATAACCTTTTGTTGGAAAAGACCAAACTTCTCCGAGCAAGATGTCATTGTTGCGTGGTTCTAAGTGAAAATATCACAAAGCCTAATTTTACCCTACATAAATTTCTAGGCTCTGTTATTATTTTCGCTTGAATTTAGCTTCTTGGAAGTATTTTATTAGGTCTACATTTGTTGTACATTGTTTAGGCGTAAAAATGTGTGTTTTGCGTATAGTTTTGTGCATGTTTAATTACATAATAATATGTGCAAAACGTCAAATAAAAAAAATTATTACTGTTAGTTGTTCTCTTTGTAAATAAATTTAATGACTATTTCTGTATATATTTTCTTTGTTTCTTCAATCGATTTCACTACTTCTAAGTTTTGATTATAGTTTTACAAAACTCACCTTTCTTAAGGATAGTTTTTTATTTTGTTATTTAATTTGATTCCTAAATGATATAATGTCACTTAATTACTTTATGGGGTTGTATTAAATCACACAGGCAGAGCATGATTATTTCTGAATTGAAAACTCCTATGTATAAGTATACAGGGTGATTTGTACTCAGTGTGACAAAATTTTTTTTTATGTAAGTACAAAGTAAATGAAGTGTGATGATGCATATCAAGTGTTCCAAGTCTCAAAATTAGCGTCCCAAAAAATTATTTTATGTTTTCCAAAAATAACCATCACCCTGTATAATTAGGTTATTTAAATTACAGAGTATGGACAATCTCAATCGCTGTTTCGCTGCGGAAAATGTGATTTTGGCGACAACACAATCATGATTGTAAACCCGTGATTGTCGGAGGCAGTTACGAGTTCGACACTCCCCAAGGGTCACGATTGATTGTTTTGAAAAGTTCCGCTGGCTTTTATTGTTCTTTGTTTTCTCATCTTCTACGTTATATTTTACAGTTGTAATTTCCTTGTGGACAAAGGACACGTGGTTAGTATTATTTTTTAACTAGGTTTACGTTAATTAATATTAGATACTTTACGTTTATGCATTCATTTAGTTAAAACATCTTTAGTTCTACCAGGAGATGTTCGAATTTCCGTTGGGCCACCACTTTATTTGAGCCGAAAGGTTCATTTTGGAGCCGAATACTAAGATATTGTAAATTCTCGCCATCTCTAATATATAAGTCGCAATAACAACAAACACTTTCCATACACGCAGTATACCGTACTTATGTGTGCGAATTAATTTGCATCACGTTACCATTTTATATTCTCTTATGTGAATGCAAAGAAGTGGAAAATATTGTATCTTTTAGGACTTTTTGTATAAATTTACAATCAGTAACCCAATCACATGTGGTACCCTAATAAAGCAATTGTTCTGGTAGTATACAAGAAACAGAGAGCAGCGTTGATTCAAAGAAAGGTTAAGCATATTGTAGCTCTGAGATAAGATAAATTATGTGAGTGATAATGATATAGATTAAAACGAAACTGAAACTTTTCAAAGTAAACAAAACTGTGCAGTCAACAAACAGTACGTTTTTTAATATGTGTTAACTATCTTTTTGTGAGTTTTGAATACTAGTTAGCTTGTAAATATGTCTAAAACCGATGAGGATGGTCTTATGAAAGAGTTCCAGGATTTAATCCGACTAGAAGGCGAAAGGCAAAAACTAGAAGGTGAAGTACAAATATTACACATTTGTACTTAATACAATAAGCGTTTCTACTGTAACATCCCTTATTATCCGTCTTTCATAACCAACTATTACACTAAGCTTACTAATTGTTACTAAGCAGCTTACTTTTTTTCAAATCTAATGATCTAGCGCAGGAGTAAGCAATATTTAAAAAAAGGTAATTTCGTTTAAGACATCGCCCTCCTAGCCTTTCATTTATTTCCAGAAGACAAATTTGAAGATTTGTTGAATAACTTGTTTTATAACCGTTAACATGTAAACTGTAACTAAACCACTAAATACCTTAACAAAAATTATAATCTGAAGACAGATTGTAAACAAGAGATGAAACAGTTTGTGAAAATGTATTTCAAATGGACGACTTTTATTAGCTTTTAGTGCGTCCTAATGAAGTAGTCCATTTTTATTTATTTAAAAGTTGTATTAATCAAACATTTATTTGAGCTTCATTTTGATGATATCAATATTCAAAATTTTCCCACGGATTCCTTTGTAAAATTCCGTTGGAAATTTTTATCAAATTGAACACAACGCAAAATTTAGTTATACCACTTTGTTTCACCAAAATTTGAAACATTCAAAACAAAATTAAATGTATTAATTGAATGGAAATACCTCATCAACTAAATTCACGACATTCTTATTGTTCTTTATTTTCAGTACTTTTTAAATTTATTATTATTTTTTAAATTTGAATTCTTTATTTCCTTTCTCCATCAAATTAACATTATTATAACAGGTGAGTTGTGGTATTGAAAGTAGTGCAGTCAAGTTTAATTGAGTAAGTAAAGTGATATTGAAGACTGGTCACAAGAGATAGGTGACACTTTACGCTAGGGATATGTTTCTGGTGTGGTGGTGTTTACGGTGTAAGGTGAGGTTTATTGCTTTTGAAATCCGCACGAAATCTTTCAGCCGATCCTCTTAGAAGTTTCTACTCCAATGGTCCATTCGTTCATTCATCTTGATCCTTCTATCAACATCATTTTTCAGTTTTCATGCAATAATTTGTTTTATTGTTACGTTTGTCATCGTGTTTTATCCTCTTTCCTGTTTTCTTTATATATGACACATTTCTATGTAGATAAGCAATAGTCTCCAACACAAGAATTATTTGAATTACACCTAAAATACAAGTTCAATTACAGGTGTGATTTTATCTTTACCTTCCATACTAATCTATAACACATAATTTACCTCGTAGTACAATTCTCATGTTTTCATCAAAATAAATTAGTACAAATGTTAATCCTCTATAACAGATGTCAATAGCTTCAATGATTAGAAATAATAGAATTATCAAAAATTTCGTAACTCGCTAAGGCAATAGTATAAATACAGAAGTTGTTCAACTTTTACCTATATCGATTAAAAAATGTGGGAGAAAGATATCAATTCATGGGATTTAACAGGGAGGGAAACAATTGAACACTCCTTGAGCTCCTATATTTTTTGATCAGGAGTGCTTTTCTTTATGTACGAAACATTCCCTCAACGACTCATCTACTTAAGTTCTCAACATTTACCCCATCCACAACTAAGCTTAAACCATCTCTGAAATTGTCCAAACGATTTTCCAGACACCAAAGCGTTTGCGAAAGTGAAACTCGTCACCTACCCGGAAGCATGGGAGACACCGAAGCCACCCAAGGACGGTCCGAAGACGCTGGAGGAGGCGTTAAAGGAGATGGGGCCGTTCGACATGGACTGGGCGGAATTTGACTTGAAGTTTGCGGACAAGTGGCATCTGATCGTCAAGGAAAACACAAAGCCTCTACCTGCCGAGTATGACAACCCCGAGGGTGTCAGGGACTTGTTCGGACCCGAGGAGAACATAGATGAACTCAAGGACATCCCGGCTGTGTATTGTAAGAAGAAGATAGAGACCAGACTGCCTCGCAAGCCCAAGCAGAGGTTGCCGTTCCCGGTGAGGTCATTACCTGAGGAGCCATCGCTGCAAGTGACACCGAAAATGTTGGAGCCCTTCCCTCCCACGATTGACTGGGAGAAACAACACTACAAACCTATCTGCGGCGACTGGATCAAACCCATGTACATCAGGTGGGAGGAATACCCGGAGTATGACGATGATGAGCCCATTGGGAAGGTATGTGTAGTTCAGTTGTGTGGCTATAGTGCGTCTAGCCTAAAAGGTCGCCATTTCGATCCTGAGAAAAGTCCGAAGTCCTTTTGGATGGTTCGAAACCGGGCTTAGGTCCCAGTCGTTTGAATATTAGTAAAAGAGGTTTTATTATAAAAATTAATTTAATTAGGTTATTTGGTTATTTGTTGCTACTGTAACCCATGAGTTTGGTCATTTTTACGTAAAAATTGATTTTTTTACTAGTGTCATTTTCTTAAGGATCGTATCAATTACCCTTTCAAGTTAGTTACCTTAACAGACAGTTAATCACTCGATTAAATTACTTATTAAGCATTTGTTTTAATTGTCTTTCAGCAAGTAGTTCTACCATGAGAAATGAACATGTTTCAATAGTCCTTATTATTAATAGTGTTTAATACATTTTAACAAACGAAAGTGTCGGATTTATTTCCAAATAAAACAATTGCAAATTAATGGTTCAACAACAACATGTATCATATTAATGTGGGGATTAATTGAATAGACTAACATCAACAATTGTTGAATATTTAAAGGGAGATGAATTTAGAGATCAAATAAATTGCGAGGGCTTTGCTGGTTATTCAGGCCACAAATCCACCCAACACTCCATTGTGAGAGGAAGGTAGGCGACTGGCTCTGACCAACATTGTTTGTTCTCTTGAAATACCGCATTTACTGTCAGAATGGTTACCACTTTGATATTACAATCGTCTTTAATTTATATTGCAATGAAAATTCGCATACATGTGCACAATCGATGCAAAAAATAGTAATCTTTGCAACTGATGAGTAAAGAGGGACTTTTTTAAACAAAGAAACAAAGCAGTGTGTGTCAATTTTATCAAGTTTAACAAAGTAATGTTACCCAACTTAAATAAGTTAATTGGCTTTATTACCCATTTAGTGTAAAATGTAATGTTTTGTAATAATTGGCAGTTTTGTGATTTTAGAAACAATGTCCACCAACACTCAAAGAGGTAGTCACGGAACACGTGATGCAGATGAATGCGAGAAAGGGGAAGAGGAATGTAAGTAAAAAGTGGTAAATTAATACGCTTAACATTTATGAATATATTTTAGACAGTTATAAATGTGTGTTTAAGTTAGATCATTGTGCGTAACGAACTGAGTTTAATGTTTAATGTTGTAATCGCACACATGTTTATTGAAATATTTTCACTTGATCGTTTAATTGTATTGATTCCCTAAACATTCTTATTTACGTAAGATGCTAGTTTTGAAATAATGAATGTATGTGATTTCAAGCGTTGCACAGGTATATAATTCTCTCAGGACAATTTGTAGTCAAGACAAAAATTAAGAAGTTTAAAAAAATAAATCATAAAAATATTGTAAGGAGAGCGATACTATTTCGTATTGATATATTTTTATGCTAGTAAAAGAAATGCTTAAACATAATAGTCCTGCATTATGCCATAGTTTAAATAACACCTAATAATCAAGAAAACATGATACAAACAACTAACATAACAGGTTAAATCAATCACAGGTTTGCCAATGCACACGAAAAATACTGCAATTTTAATACGTCATGTACAAAACTATTCAGGACAATTGTGTTAAGTGTATAATTTGAAACTGATCTAATGATTTTCAACAATTTTCAGATGGGTCTGTTGAAGATTAAAGACCCGGTGGAACCGATGACCAAGGAGGAGCTCGACGACTTTATTGAGGAGGTTAGTAGTCATGTCAAGATAACAATTTTATCGGGTTTCTAGCTTTTAAAGTGTATAAGATCATAGCAGAGAAGGTTATTTTAATGTGCAGGCCAGTGGCAGTTTAAAAAAAAGTTTGTCATATAAATGATTTCTCATTACAGTCAAAGAACCTCTAAATGTTTCATGGATAGTAATTTTCAAAAAGGATCTGTTCAAATCATAGTGTTTCCAAAATCTCACAACAAATTTTGATAATGTTCTTTTAGAACCAATGAACAATCTAATCACCTCCATTTTTGAGATTTTGCTTGAAATTTTCAAAGGTTGATGCATAATTGTTTTCCTTATTCACTGCATTAGGTTGATTTAATATCTAATAGTTAAATCGAGAATTATCCCTTTGTTTGTTTGTCTTTCAATCGTAAAATATCTACTCTTCTAATGCTTCCGTTACAAGAAAGACATTGTACTTCTTCATGCACTTCCCATGTGTTGTATCTTTTTCGGAAAGCGTTTGCTATAATACTTCTTATTTTGTGGTGCCTTGTGTTCCTTAGAAGTTCACCAAAAGGACAGAAGCCAAGTGAAGGGGTTTCAATGCATGTGCATGTGCAAGGGTTTCAATCTCGCACATAGGGTGTTTTTCTATACATAAAATGCACACGGGAAACCCCCTAGCTAGTGGATTAAATTATATTTTCTAAAATATAAATACATGAACACCATCATCGGATACATAGCATCATTGGAGATTGGGATTGCCTGTTACAGAAGGAGAAGGACGAGCAGTTCCGGAACCTGCTGTACGGAGACAGACCAGACCATTGGTGGCAGAAGAGGCAAGATGAGGAACTGAGGGACTATCGCGACTTCGAGATCGTCGGGGCCAAGAAGAGGCTGGAGAGAGATCCGGATAAAGCCGACTATAGTAAAATAGGTGAGTGACTATCGATTACTAGAAGGTCGATGACGATCGATTAACGATGGACTTTGATTACTATCTTCAGATTGAGGTTATAGACAATTAATGCTAGATTGTTCGGGCCAAGCGATTGCTGTTAAATTCTAATCATCTGGTTGGTAAATTTTTCATAAGTACATTTGCTTCCTTATTTAATATGCAATACTATACTAGTTAACAATGAACCAGGTAGGTTAATAATACTAGACCGATTAATTACTATAGATAATGACAGTTTCACTGGTAGGTTACTACTTGGTAGGTTACTGTGTGGTTGATTACAGCATGTTCCCACTCGATAGGTGACAATAGTTTGCTCGGTGGTTTAAGAAATATCCACTGTTTCCTAGGGACTAAACCACCCACTACTGTCGTCACAAAGGTGCCATTTTCAGTACCAAATATATTTCATTCTAAACGAGTATCGACGAAACCACAATGAAAGTGATAGTTACCTAAACATCTTTTAATTGCTGTGGTATTTATTTATGATATTATTTCTGTTTTTGTTATATCTAGAAAACCCATTCATGGAGTTGGAGCTCCCCGTAATAGAGGATGACGAAGACAGAGGAAGAGGAAGGGGTAGAGGTAGAGGAGGGTTCAGCAGAGGCAGAGGAAGGGGCAAACATAGAGGAAAGTGGGAAGAATACACCCGTGAAGAGGACGCGATATGGGGTGAAAGTAACCGAGATAATGTACAAGATAGGCGGAGAGGAGGAGGTAGAGGATATTATGGCTCAAGCAGAGATACAACGGATAGTTGGAGGACCAGAGGGGCAGGAGCATCAGGATGGAACAGAGGCAAGCTGCCTTCGTATAGTGGGAGAGGTGCTCAGGAGGACATGGACACGTTCGAACCAGCTGAAGACCCACCGGACCAGCCCGAGTGACGTCAGCTACCTATCACCTTAATCATGGCCAGAGACGAGAATGAAGAAAGGATAAATTACTACAGTTTGTCCTCTTGACCCTCGAGTTTTAGTAATAACGCTTGAAATTTAAATGTTAGTACCCTTTAAACATTCTTACATTTATTTACCTACAACCAGTGTTATACCTGGAACCTTATTATTACAGCCAGATGGGTCTGCATCAATATTCCATCGAATTTAAATACCGTTGGCACTGAAAAAGACACATCTATAACGACAATGGTTGATTGGTCTATCTTCTATCTATATAAATAAAATTATAGTTTTGGTTGTACATTGCGTAGAGTCATAACGTTGTCAGTTATTTTTCACTTTATACTATAGGAAAGCCGAAACGCGTGTTATCTTAATTTCTGTCTGTCTGTCTGTCTTTTAACACTCTCTGTAACACTGTCTGTAACAAAGTTTCGGCTGTTTGTGATATTTTTTATACGTAAAGCTGTGGAATTCCCAGAGATTCTAATTAAGGTTAAGACGGAACATTAGAAAATAGGAATAGGATAACAACTGCCTCTCCTTCACTTGGTGTTGTCAGATCACATGAAAAACTAATAACCAGTGTCTTTCCAAACGTTCATAAACTACTTAACATGGATAGTGCCTGGCTCTGTGATTATACAATTCTATCACCTAGAAACGAGCAATCAACGCAGATAATCATTTAGGCGATGGCTCTCTTCCACGTCAAAGAACGTACGTATGAATCAGTGAACACCATCCTGAGAGAAGATGATATGCTGCAAACTATCCGGCAGAGTTTCTTGGCCCAGTATCAGGACCCGTTTTGCCACCCTGAAGGTTGGTGCTTCAGTGATGCTGCTAAGAAAATTACATTCAGCCAAATAGTGCAATGGAACGCGTCTTCGTATTCGCAGTCTCCAGTGATACATCATTGTAGCAGAGATTCTCATGGGTTGTGGTGCTGGGGAAGATAGATTTCCGCGGGGATAATTAAGGGGTAGGTCATTTCTGATTTGACCACTGGGGGTAGATTTCCGGAGGTAAAATTTCTGTGTCAGGTTTATTGGGATTTTGATTAATTACAACTGTTAAGCAAACCGTAAATGTGACTTGATTGAAATAAATAATTGTTCCAAAAGTTCATGGCCGAAAATCTACCCCCAGACCTAGGACGTCTAAATGACGTAGGAATATTTTCAAGGGGGTTAATTTCTTGGGGTAAAATTCCGGTGACTCTCCAGGAGGACCCGAAACGGATACATCAACTCAACACTAAACTAAAAAATGTTAACTAAAACAATACTTCCTCTATTCTATAGTCTAGGGAGAGAAAGTATAAATTTTAACCTCATGGTTGTCATAGAAAATAATCAATATTTACTCTCGCCGCCTCAGAATGTTAAAATCCCACGTGGCTGAGCACTCCAATTATTTATCTAATTATTTAAAAAAATTACAAAGATTTTAGAAAAGATTTTGCCAAAACTTATCGTTTTTGTGCAAGAACGTATATAATTTTTGTTTAATTTTACTAACTAACTTTTAATAAACTAAATGAACTATGGACATTGTTTTTTCTAACACCATCAAAATTGTTTACAAATGGAAGATTTTTCATAAAATCAATATTTTTTCCTATGAAAGGAATCGATTCAAAGCTAAGAGGTCCACCAAAATGGTTCCGATTAACGGATTGTTTCGAGCACCCTCTCACCAATTCACTCAAATTTAACGTCAAAACCGGACTAAGACATTTACTCTGATAACTAAATTCACTATCACGATCACTTTGATTGCCTTCTATGGAAATCAAGTTCGACAATTTTCTTTGTAAGACGTTTTGTCTTGAAACCAAAGACTTTTTACAAACATTAGTATTATCAAACCATCTCTTTTGGCTTTGTGATCCGGACTCTGTTGTGTATGAATCTTCCACATTACGCTGGTTTTCTACTCTATGGGTTCCATTCGCAGTTTGGGCATCTATTTGCAAATCGTGAGGGTCACTATTCTGCTTGGTAATGTCTTTCTGGATTTTATGACTCTCGCGAGTTGCGTCAGTCTCTGTAGGCCGCAAGCTCTGTGTGACAAAGTTCTGCCAGCTCTCTAATTCAGTTTTTTCTTTCTCCACCTCCTTCCCAACAGGACGGTCACCGTCATCATCATCACCATCTTCATCTTCATCTTCATCTTCATCGCCACAGTCATCATCTTCTCCCTTGTCATTTCCATCTTCTCCCGTTCCTGCATCTCCATCAGATCCATCTCCAAGCACATCCAATTTCTTCGCACGTTTATAAAATCCCCAGTTCTCAGTACCCGGTATGTGATTATATCCTGGACAGTAGTGGTAGTAGCCGTCTTCGTCAGGTGGGTATTCGTAGGGACTGCATTTCTTCGGATATAAGCCGTGTTCTTCTGCTTTTCTCTGCCAGTAGTTTTCCGGGTTTATGGGTTTAGGGGCGGGGTATTCCTCCTTGACTTGTTCCACTGTAACCCAATCCCCTTGCAAATTCTTCATATCCACGTATTGGTGACCGTGCCAGTCGTACCACGTGCGGACCTCCGGCTGGTACTCGGGAATCTTCTGGTACTGATGGTCCCCAGCATTCATCTCAACTGGCTCCATGTACTCCTCCGGTTTGACGTCTGGATATTCTGGTCCACTTGAGTGGATCGATGATAGATCCTCGGTGTCCACATCAGTGACTGTACTGAACTCCTCGCTGGTGTCCGTAACAAAGTCCGACTGATAGTCTCCTCTATCTGGGAAGTCCTCGATTTCACTCTCGTCGGCAGACAAATCTGCGAATTCTTTTTCGTGTTCCCACCATGGAATGTATGGGGTCTTTGGATCGATTGGTAACTCTCCCATGTAATTCACATCACCGTGTTTCGGAAGAACAAAATTTTCTTCGTCAGAAGGCATCTTAAGATCGTCTGTTTTTACTCTGTTAAACTTTTTCTGCATTTGCATCTCTTCTTTGTCTGATTCTGTAATTTTATCTCTATACACCATCGAGCTCACGTAGGGATTAGGTTTCCATTTTTTTGGAAACGGTCGTTTTTTATGTCTTTTCATTATTTCGTCCGTGTAAGGTTTCAAGTCTTTGAATTCTAGTTCGTTGATTTGCTCAGGGTCCTCGTCCCAACATGTATCTGTGTCTGACTTTTCTGTAGTGCTCTTCTCTTCCCCACTCTCGTACTCTTCATCTGTCGTAGTCTCATCGTCGGATGAATCATCACTACTCGTCTCCCTTACTTCCTCCATACCCACCGGACCGAGGCCGTCTTCATCAGTGTCCAACAACTCTACGTCATCATAATACTCATCTTCTGAAGAGTAAACGTACTCGTTTTCGTGTTTGAATATTTCATACGAGTCGACATTGAATGGTTTCACTTTTTTCTCCTCGGGACAATCAACTTTAGGCCTTTCTTCCGTGTAGATTGGTATGAAGTGACCATCCTCTCTCACATAATACCTTACTTCTTCCTGGTAGTATTTCTTCTTAGGTTTATTGTCATTTGAGCCTTGCATCTTTAACCTCAATCCTCTTGCAATGTTATTTTGTAATTAATAATATCGAAATTGGTATGATTTAAATAAACCTTCTTTTAGTTAAATAAATACTATTCTCACTCCTGACTTTTACAATAACCACATAATATATTTTATTTCACACATTCATATAAAATAAACACTCACTTAAAAAAAAGAAAATAATAATAATAGTTCAATTATGCAGAGTTGGAAACAAAATCACTTGGTTTTTACATTATACACATTCAAATTCAAATTAATAAAATATTTTAGATGACAGTTAAACATCCAATAACAACAAAACCAATATCAAATAGGTTAGACTATCAACAGATAAGCCTTTCATCTCGGGTATCAGCGTTACGTTGATGGTTCACAAAGGCTTTCTACTGTACGTTGTGATAATATAGAATTAACGTGTTGGTTATAATATATACCAGCAGACTGGTTCGGAAAGTGTATTTCTCTCTTGAAAAAACCTTTGCCTGGCAAAGGAATGTTGATTATGTAATAAATCTCCAGTTTTCAATAAAATCAACAAAAGGGAAACCATGCTAAAATGGTAATATTGCACAGTTGCACATTTGTAAGGACTTTTGTTTTATTTATTATGATGAAATATTGTCTATGTATATATGTTGTATGTATGTATTGTCAAATGAGTAGTGTTGCATTGTGAAATCTTGTTCTAAAAACTGTGTATATTTTTACAGGATTTTTGTTGAATCAAAGTAGATAAGAAGCCGGAGTTTGCATTTTTGCATTGTGGAATCTATATAGCAAAACACCTAAAGAGTTCTATATTCAATTGTTTTTTAACTATGTAGGTAATATTTTAAGACTTCTTTTTATCTAACTATTCTGTTTACGGATTAATAATATAATTAATGGTGTTTTAGAGGAAACCAACATAAGTGTGAACACATCACGTACTGCAAATATGTGTTAAAAATTGTAAGAAATAGTTTGGTGTGCACCCTCACATTAAAATTGTGCAAACTAAACTATTAGTTATCTTTATGGACCTGGTCTGTCGAGTTATGCTTGGTAACGAAAACTTCCTCTGTAAATATCTTGGACTTAGATAGTTTATAGAAGTCTCAATGTTATGTTAACAAAGCATATTTGTACCTCTTTATTTCACTACTACCTTACTCTCAACGAGATAAGATTAACAATCTTTCAACATCTCACCTTATTTAACACAAATAACAGTTACAAAATAAATAGCAACCAAATCCTTTATTTGTATCAAGCACATCCCATATATACATGGAGTTATCTTATTTAAAAATCCTAAATAATATTATGAATACATATTCTTCATATACTTTCATTTCCACTTCTCACTCCTCTAAGTTTCTCCCAGACCTTAGAAGCCGCCCATTTCACCAAACTGAAAACAACAATGTAGAAAGCTATTCGACAAATCCAATCTTTGACGGCGTTAAAGGTTCTGACAGAAGTAGGGTCTTCGTTGTCAGAATCTACCGGAGTATATTCGAAATAATATTCCCCAGAGGAGCTTTCGTTGTCTTCATTTGCAGATCTGGTCTCGTCGACTGTGTCTTCCTTTACCTCCAGAATGGGAAACAACTCCGATGTTTCAGATTGGGACAGCTCCCTCCTGAGGGAGGCCGAAGGGTATGTGGGAGGATTGGGAGTATACTCCGGAGTGTTGGCGGGTGTTGCGGGAGGAATAGTTGTGTACCAATCCTCCTCTTTCTCGCCTTTGTTTTCCCCCCTTTTCTCCTTCAAGGATAGTATCCCCTCGATACTTTGCAGGTCTTTTTCTGATGTCAGCGATTTTGACCCAGAAAGCATCTCCCAGTCTTGATCTTCATGTGATTGCGATGAACTCGGATTCATTTTCAGCACAAGGTGAAGCTCAATACATGAGTTCTGAAAATTATTGATGGTTTATGAAACTTTTTAAACAAAATAGACTTTGTTGATGGTCAAATATGTGTGGTGGTAAGCCACCCACAATTAAAAACATGGCGATAATTTAAAATTTACCAAGTTTCTCTCTCTAATATTAGTTTTTTTTTAATTTTACACTATGTTACATTTTATCAGAAGTGACTGTGTCATTGAAGATTTTAGGACGGGTTCGGATAAGACACAAGGAGCACCTAGTAATTTCTGAACAGCCAGTTTTTGCCTTATTGGTTTTAGTCTCATAAATCATTCATACATGCTCAAACAAAAACGTTTGTGAATCAAAAAATGTAAAATATTGTAAATTTGTCAAGTAGCATTTGCTAATCAGTCTCAGAGTAATTAGAGTACACAACACTAGTAAATAATTTTTAATAAATTAAATACGTCCTATTTAATAATAAAGTTTAAAAGATATAAATATAAAATTGTTTGTAAATATCAATTTAAGGTATTTTAGAATGGAATGGTTCTTGAATACACCGAAAACAAAACAGACAGTCTTTTCACTTATTGTATAAATCATATAATCTATTTATATCTCGTAATGTATGATTCATTGAAACAAAAATTAGAAAAATTAGAATATAGTCAGCGTATAACAGTTTGCATATACTTACGAGTATGCAATTCTTGGAAGAAGTAAAAGTTGAAAAGTGTAGGGTCTCTATCGGCAAACAACGCGTACTTTTCAATAACAAATTTGTAAACTAAGCCTCCAACTATGCCGATAACGAAAAACACTACTCCCTTCATGATAGTCTGTTATCACAGTTTAAATCTAACGAGTGAATGTTTTTCCGTGTAATATTATTTCAGATAAATCAAGCATCGGGATTTCAAATAAATAAACAGTAATAAACATTTGTTTTTAAAGCATATTACTGTAGGTAATTGTAGTTTAGCTGCTAAAATATATCCACGTTTAAAAAAAGGTTGATTGATAATAACGCGCAGTACTTAGAACATGGTTTAACTAAGGAAACGTTATTTTTTCAATTTTGGTATGGTTATATACGTCGAATGTATATTTAAATTTGATGTGAGATTCAGGTAATGTTATTGTGCACAACGTTTGCCTGTTAACTATTTAAAAAGAATGTTGTAGCCTGGCCTTAATTTTGTTATGGTTGTGTACGACTTTTTGTATTCTCGAATCATATTGATACACAAAATTGTTATTGTCATAAATCCCCAAGACTTTTCAAAACCTTTAGTAACAACTTGTCGTAAAGGTTGGGATTGAAATAAACCATTTCACTGAATTGCATCATTTAATATAAAATACGTAAGCTAGTTTAATTATTTTTTTAATCCAACTATTACGATCCCATTCAAATCCTGACTGCTCGCGCTACACTAAATTCTGTCTCATTACCACAAGTCAAATTAGACTCATTCCTGTGTACAAACCTGCGGGGAAGATATGAATCAACGATACTAATGAAATTAGAACTATCAAGATCTTTAAAAGCTGAAACCAATTGAAATTTAGTTCCTTGGTAATCACCTAATTTTATAGAAGGTTCGGGTAAATGCAAGTCCTTAGAATACAAAATTTGAAACGGATTGTTGGCTTTGCCTCGTTCGTCGTGGTAGGCATAATTGACTTCGCCGGGCCTTGGGAGACTTCCGTCCTCTCGTATCAAGTGGGCGGGAACCTCATAGATCCCAACGCCACCCATGTTGTAGATGTGCACGGTGTCGTCGAGTGGTTTGTCTGAGGAGCTCGTACTCGAACTGGAGTCACTCTTGTCGGAATATTCTGAATCCCTCGAGTCCGGAGACTCACTACAAACATCTTTTGAGTCAGAAGCACCATGACTGTCCCTGGTAGTAGTGGATCCTTCGGGGAAATCCGAACGATCAGGATTATCAAGATCATCCATCATCGAACTGCTATCGTTAACGTCTGATTCGCTCAAAATATCAGGTTTGAATTCGCTCAGTCCTTCGGAGGAATCCATCGAGGTAGAATTTTTACGTTCCATCTCACTATGAAAAGTTGAGTCTTCTTCTTCCAAGTCCGGCGTGTCGTCACTGTAGGTGGTCGTCATGTCCATGGGAGAGGGCGATCTGTTGGCGAGTTCGTCGGAGGAGTGGACGGGAGAGGGTGTTGTGTTTGAGCTGTCCAACGCTGAGCTCGTCTTGTCGATGTCCTCGGGCCCTGTGAACGACCCTGTGGTGAAGGTGTATGTAGGGGACGGAGCGGAGGTGAAGTGATGACCTGGGTCAGAGTCGGACACTTCTTCCGTCTGGAACTTCTCGCTGCTTATAGTTTCCGACTCTAAGAGATCGTCGGTCTCAGACTCCCAGATACTTTCTATCTCTGTGTCTTCGTCGACTTCCGTTGTGTTCGTAGGAGCATGAGCTGGAACCACATCATCTCGGGCGATATTCTCGTTCAGTATTTGTTGTACATCCACATTATTGGATTTTGAAGAAGTAGATGATAATCTAGCTAGATTTACTGAACGTGTGTTTGACCTTGTGGTAGACATTTCTTCAACACTGGAAATTAAGGGAATACACTCTTTTCTTTTAGGACAAGTCTCTTTATTATTGAAAGTTGTTTAGCTTTGATTTTGTAATTGTTTCTTAGTGTTCTTAGCTCCAATGGGCTTATGACTGAAACATTGATGGAATAGAATGGGTTATGCTCCACTATAAATACTTCTGATTGCTGACTGTTTATTTTCTAGTGTAAAGATGTTTCGCCAATACAATTTATATTAGTTTACAGGTGCTTTAGTTGTTACCTTATTTCACTACGTAGACCCAACCAATTATTGTTTATCATTAGTATAACGTAAGAATGCCAAACACATAATATGGCTCTAACGCCATTGATTTGTATCACACATTGAAGTAATTCTTTATACGGGTTGGAAGTCAACGCGATAAAATTATCACTTTGATTCAACATGTGGTGAATTTGTTTTATTGGGGTTAAATGGTGTGTGTAGGCCTACCTGTATGAGTTATTTTAAGATTTCTAGAACAAACTGTAATTAATTTTAGTTTTTGTTATAAATTAATTTTCTCCTTACTTACTGCCTCTTAAAAGTTGTGTGACTCTTCTTCAACAATGCTTCTGTATATTTAAAAAACTATTGTTGTTGAACAAACTATTTGCACAACTATTGTTATTATAACTATTGTTTATAAATATAAATGTCTTTTATTTTAAATATTTCGTCATGAAATCTATTGAAAAAATAAGTTTTGACTAAATCTGCTTTAGTTTAATTTAATTGTTCAATGGATTTACCTAAAGAATATATTTTGTAATTCAATTAGTGTATTCCTCAAAATGAAATATCATTGTGAACTTCAATATTAATATTGAAATATTGTTTTTCTTTTGGATATATTAGCTAAATAATAATACATTTATAATAATTATTATTATTTAGGTATTCTCCACACTGTAAAATCATGTTTTGGCACATACTCTAGATTATATTAGATAGCAATGTCGAAAACAGTTTTACCAAAACAAATACTATTAGAAAATAACAGTCATAAATAGATTGTATAAATAGTATAAAATATAATTATTGCACCAAATTCCGAGTACTCATTCATGATGATTTACTTTCACAATTATGAACTATGCTCATATCTATATTTCAAACCATGGCTTATTATTTGCGTACTTTTCCCTGATAATGGATTAGAACACAGAACACATTGTAAACCTCAACTCACAGCTACACTTTGATACTTCGCGAATCTATGATCTGATACAGCATTAAATATTTCTGAACGGTGATGACTGAACACATCTTGTTGGATAGAAAACAATAACACGTCGTCAATGTTATTTTTTACCAAAACCTTTTTGAAAGCTGGTTTACCAATCACCTTCTTATTGTAACCCTCACTCACGTTATTAGAGTTTAAATTTAGCTCAAAACCTGGGCGTATATTTTGTTCCTCTGAATTATTCTCATATATACACCTAGTTAAATACTTCACCCACTTAAATCTTCCGTTGGGTAACACTTTAGATTTTCTTACACTTTCTTCACCCACGTGTCTCTCTATTTTAGAGTAATCTGAATCTCTCAACACCGCCTCCACTTTCCCCAGTTCATCAGCGTGTTCTCTCTCCCACAGCTTGTTCGCCTCATGTTCCGTTTCCTCCAGAGTCTCCCCCACAACAAACCCCGGTATCTTCTCTATGTCCACATCCGTGTTGGTTCCTACACTGGTGTATTCAAATCCCGAATGTGTAGGTGTCACTGTCAGATCACCTGTTTCAAAGGACGATTCGTCACTCGGAGATTCCCCAGTGTCGCTTTTCCTGTCGGTGAAGTTCAACGGTTCCGTTTCCTCTTCGGAGTCGTAAATGTCGGACGTGGTGGAGGTCACGGAAGGAGGTGATGACGACTCGTTGGGTATCGTGTTGGACGACACGGACCCTGTCAACATTGTTGTAGTGTCAGGCTGTGTGAAGTCGTCAGAGAACACAGACCCATCCTTGTCGTCAGTGTCTTGCACGTCTGAGTCATCATCTACGAGCGGTTCATAGCTTTTGTCCAACAGAAACATTTTTGGACGTAAATCGAGTTCGTTAACAGAATCTGTTGAGTCTGGTTGGACTGAGAACTCCGGTAGGTTCATGTTTTTTACTGAAGCCATCCTATGTGTTGGACGAGACTTACTATAAGAAGTATTATTATAACATTCAATTCAAGTTAACTGTAGGAGTACCCTGATAAATATTGGAGGATCGAGCATATCAGTATCTGTTTATGTACTTCTGGTAATCAAATAGATCAGAGTTGCTGATAAATTACTATTCTATTCCTATTCTCCTCAATTTCACGTGCAATTAAAAATTTTCCAATTCTGGTGATGATTATTTTATGTTTTATTTATTGAGTTAAAACAAGCTTAAATGTCGGATGAAAACTCGGAACTTCTCTGCGAAGGTATCATTGACATTTACAATCCTGGACGCAACTAATACCGCATCTATATTATACATATTATTATATGTGCGAGAATATGGTACCACTTTTATCTCAAAAAGACTGTAAGTCTTTTTCATTTCAAAACAGAATATATATCTATGTTATATCTTGAATTGACATAGACGCATAAAACTGATAAGTTATCTCTCCATAACAGTTAAATTAAATTGTAAACTCAATTGTTCAGAGCAATGAAACAAATAAAAAAATCGTCGCGGTACTACAGATGGAATCTTCAAAAGTTGTTTACTTTGTTAATATTTTGCCTATAGAATTATTTGTTGTCATACTACAGCAAAAACATCCGTTTTTATGCATGTTATGTTGGTCTTAAGTAGATTTTACACTCCCTAGGGAGTAAAAGTCTTGTTAGTCCCTTGGGACCAAGAATCAGCAGTTGTAAACTTATGCAACTAATGTAAATTTACTTAACAGCTGTTTATTTGATTTAGTAAAATGAAGTCGTTTTGAGGGTTTTAGAAAAGTGTTGTCCATTAGTTGCTTATAATACTGCAATAAGATGAAAAAATAGTTCGTCACACAGGGAAAAAGTGTATTTTTAAAACTCGCTCTTCGTCCACTTAAGAGTAAAAACTTGTGCTTGAGTTGAAAAGAGTTACTTTACGCCCTAGTGATGATCTTCATGCTATTTCTAGTTTGGAAGATTTAACTGTCGCAATTAATTGTTAACGCCACTCTATACAACCAACCTTAAGACGTTTATAGAGCAAGATGCGTTAGTTATTGTGTTACGAGATTTATTAGCTAACAGGACACATAGTTTATAGATAGTCTTTAACATTGATTTAAATTTAATTCCTAATTCATCAAATAAAATTCAGCAGCATAAATTTTTGTGTCTCATAATCAGATTTTATTACTTAAACGAGTACACGAAGAACCATATTGGTCTCTTATACCCACTCTAAACTCCATCATATTTTTAACGTATGGTATCATTATTTTCTCTAATGTAATATTCTCTCAAAAAATAAATACCTATCTCGTAGCTATGTGAATTATAAAGTTTACTACAGTATAAATACTGATAGTACTGTAAGTACATAGTTGTAAAACAAATAACTATCGAAACATGTACAGAATAACTAAAAAATGAAACAAATAACACTTAAATCTCATATCACTGCAAAGCCTTTTGTCCTGAACCCTGTGATTCCATCACAAACCGATGCCCGTGTAGCAACCCTGCTGCCCAGAATGGAACTTGGATCTGTTCATGCTCCACATCGTCTACCACATCCACTATATCAAACTTGAGTGCACTCATCGGCTTTTCGCCTATAGCTGGTTTTTTCGGAACCGGATCTTTTGCAGGGTGAAGATGGAAATGGTCACCTGAATACGAGCTCGCGGTGTCTTCATCCCTATCTTCCGAGAACAGACTCGAATCTTCCGAATAGGAAGTTGCTTTGTGCCAGCTGGGCACCAAACTAGTGTCACAAGACAGATCTTGGGAGTCCGGGGGATCGTCCGAGCCCCAGGAAGATACAGAAGAGTAGGAATCAGCGACACCAGACTTTGGTGGAGTCCAATGATCAGAATCAGAAATTTCGCTTTCTGATTTCGATTCTGATTCGTCTGTGTCTAATTCATCAATGTTGATTGCTTGTGGAGCTGTGAACCGAGACTGTTCATTTGAAAGATCCAGTTCCACATGAGAGTTGTTTGAGAACCAGTTGTTATTTGGAAGAGTGATTTCGTCTTCCAACGTGTTGTGGTTGAGATTGTGCGCCATACTGAATCTGTAAAGTAATAAAATTATATACAACCAAGCATCTTTGTGGTATTATCCAAAGGTTTGTATTTTCATGTCCAATTAAACCCTCTTCAATAATGAACAACAATCTAAATTGATATTATTATTTAATTAGATCTTTCTATTAATTTGTTAAAATATAATTAAGGCGCAAAAGAAAATTGGGTTGCAAACGCCTTTAAAAAATAACACATTTTCACATACAAAGGTAGTTCGGCTTTGTATACATGTTTTGTTAATTGGCTATCTTACTCACTAAATTGCGTGATCAATACAAATCTAATGAATTGTTTCCTAGTTAGAAGTACAAAAGAGAAATAACTTGCCTTTGGAGGTGTTTTGGCGGCAAATGACGTTTGACTATTTGAACTTCTTCTTCATGGAAAACTACTAATTTTTCTCCAGTTAGCAAAATATACCGTATACCGGTATACTTGTATATACCGTTCAGGTAAACTTTTTAAATTTCAAAACCCGACAGCACATTCATTTCTTAGTTTTAAGAATGAATCGATTCAATTAAGCAATGGTAATTATTATAACATATTATAAAACTGTAATAGTACATGAAAGACGCAGTTATTGAGACGAATTGTTATACAATTCCGTATCGTAAAGAACAGAGCACTTTTTTCATGTCAATAAAGAAGGTTAAGTTAAGTTTGTGATTCTCAAATGTATTTAACAGAAACACTGTCATTGTATTGGAATCTTGTTTTGGCCATAACCAGCTTATCGGATTTTTTGTGCCACAAGTTGAATTGACCCGAAATGGAGATCTATATAAATAATAGTTTGCTATTCAGTAAATGACAAAATGGTAAATCATAATTGATTGGAAGGAGCATTTAATGTATTTCCTGATAATGAGATCTTATAAACATAACCTTTACATGCGTAATATTTTCTTAGTTTCCACAAATTAACCCTCTATCCGCTCTATCCGTCTAATTCATTGTTTTGTTCTATGGCAATTTTTTTCAAATGTGTTCAGAAGATTAAGTCTAAATTCATATTCAGATTTAATCGTAGAGTATTTATGAAACACAGTTTTTAACATTCGTCAAAGATTTATTGAGGGCATATCAGACAAATTGTTGGCCCGTAAATGCTTAAGAACAGCTTTGAAATATTTTCATTTATTAGTAAATGGAGAACTCATCACTTTATTAACTGACATATTAACCCAAAAAGCGACCAAGATTGGTGTATATTATCCCAAATGTAATTAATTCAACATATTTTTCAAAGAAAGTTGGAACTAGGATAGTCTTTTCTCTTTTGTGAAACACAGTTGTTTCATAAAAGGAATTTAACTAAAAAGATTAACACATCTAAGGTTGTATTATTTCTCTTCATACAACCATCGTCATCATGATACGAGTGTAACTTGAAATATATTTTAATTAAACTGTTACAAATTAATATCAAATTAAAGATGCTTTGAGTTATTTTATCAATAAGTTGACCAGTTTGGTTTGGTAAAAAACTTGGCGTATACGAATGAGTGACAACAGCACATCACTCACTGAGTTCATTTTTTATTTAACTGGACATATTGAACATGAGAATGGAAAGTCCATTTCTATCCTTAGTCAAATACATAGCTAACATTTTATCGATTTTCATAAAATGTAAGTTTGACTATGCCACTAAACCAATATTTGGTATCAATATAAAATGAAAAACATTAAAATCTTTAGTTTTTCAGGCAGAATAAGAAAAACATAATAGCATTATGTAGTTTATTGATACAACAAGATAAATTGGAACAAAGGTGTGCAACATAATTAGGTAGTTATGACAAGATCAATATAATCGTCACACTAATAAAATAAAATTTTGAATCCTCTTCTAATTAAATTTGGTTGTCCATATGTATTGTATTATTTTAGGTGAATTAAATAATAAACATACATTAATTTAATCTACATTGGGACTTATTTTGGGCACAGTTTTCAGTTAGGTCGTACAAAATATATGTATATCTATTATTGGTCATCTTATTATTGTCATTGTATTTACCTGTAAATTACATTGTTTTATTGGCTTATTAAGGTTTTTTTTACCAATACTTCCAAAGTAAATTCAATTTAACATTTTGATTCTCAAAGTTGTCTTTGGTATAAATTTTCAAATTTTGTATGTACTTAATTCCTAATTAGCCCAATGCATTTTATTTACATGTAAAAATATCCCTGACACAACATATACCCACTATCTTTCTGTTTCTTAATTCGTCCTCCTGCCAAGATACGCAGTTCCGAAGAGGTTTGAGAACATCGGTGCGGATTGTACCTGTGATTCTCTCAAGTGTGTCTCACGTTGTCCTGGCAGGAAAGCTTGATTGAGGTAGTCTGAAGCTATGTGTGACGTAATCCTGTCTACATCCTCGCCAAACAACATGGATGTCACCGCTGACGTCATACCCGCCATCCTAGCGAACACACGCTGCTGCACCTGCTCTTCCTCAGGTATCATGTGGATGTCCAGGGACGCTCTAGGTCTACCACCCTGCCTAGAGGCTGGTGCCCTCTGACCTCTCTGGGGAGCATTTCCAGTCTTGCTTTCATCATCCTCGTCTTCATCATCGTCTTCGTCCTCGTCGGAAGTCAGATCCGAAGAATCTTCATCCTCATTAGAATCAGTGTCAACATCTTCATCTTCGTCTTCGTCACTTACACCTTCTTCACTTTCCGAGTCGGAATCATCAGAATCATCAGAATCGTCGTCATCGGAATCGTCGTCATCGGAATCGTCAGAATCATCGGAATCATCGGAATCCTCGGAATCAGAATCGTCAGAATCATCCTCTGAATCATCGGAAGCGGTACTAACGTCATCGGAATCATCGTCATCGGAATCATCGTCATCGGAATCATCGTCATCGGACTCAGATTCTGTGTCGGAGTCATCTGAATCATCAGAAGTACTTTCATCGAGATCAGAATCACTATCATTATCCTCTTGACTCTCAATCTCACTATCTGAGAGGGCTGTGCCTGATTCATCACTGTCCTGTCTTTCTTGTCCATCTCCTGTTTTATTCATCTGGGGTGATGTCGTTTGCCTTCCTCCAAGGGGTATTCGGAAATCTTGAAAATTTGTGTCGTCGATCTCTCCAGGGTTTGAAAGCCATTCAGGACGTGTGAATGGATTTATCCTCATGAATGGTAACTGTTTAGATGTTGCCATTGTGATCTTAACGTTCGGTCAGACAACTGGTTGTTTTCAAACAGAAGATTCAAAGATCCCTGCAAACCATTCACACATTTAGAAAATATAACCGTAATCAATCTCCTTATACTAGATAATAAATTATAGTTTAATGTGTAAGCTTCATATATCATAAGTCTTTCAAGTAGTTTGTACGTCAGATAACATGGTGGTGTTTCTATGTTTCTATGTACCAGGTTATGTGGATCTGAACAGTTTCATAATATATTAGTGGCACTAACAAATTTGTCATGACCAAATATATTGTTGAAACACCAAATTCCAATAAAAATTTAACGCTTCTTGCTCTTGCATACCCAAGTATTATAAACTTATATTTAAAATCACTAATGTTATACCAGGCGTTTGCTTAGTTTAGAAAGGAATTCCTACTCATTCCCGTGAAATTCGTTCTTCTACTCGTGAGCCTCTCTTCGGCTGGGTCCGGAAGAAAATTTACCGAGTTGTTCGGGGCGATGTGTTTAGCTATGCTGGAAAATATGTTAGATACTCCACAATTTTTTACTATATCTTCTCTTCCTATGATGTGGGCAAATTTCTTTTTCCCCTCTTCTCTCTTCTCCTTAAACGGATCAAATATGTTTTTCGCTTTGGATTTATGAACCGGTACTTCCATTACTTCGTCCTCGGACCATTTGACCGTTCTTGGAGGACCTCCCTTGGCCGGTGGTATCGAATCAGTCATTTCATCGTCTGAAGGAGACGACGGGTCCCGAGAGTCGTCTATATTCTCAGACAGTGAAGTGTATGAGTGGTCTGAGGAGTCGGTCGGAGCGTCTGAGTCGAAGTACTCTGAGTCTGTAGATTGATCTGAGTCGTCCTCCGACGGGTGGTACGTCGGCGACGACAGCGCCTCCGTGTTGGGATTGAGCGATTCGGTCTTTTCGTCCTCATCGGTTGTCGTAGTGAAAATACTCTGAGCGGAAGTGGACGTAGTCATGTCGGTGTCTGTCGGCTCAGTGTCGGTAGAGTCCATGTTTGTATCAGTGACTGAACCGTCTGTAGCACCATACCCTGGGTACTTCTGTTTCTTTTTGTTTATGTCGTCAAAAACACTTTCGAAAGGATCATCAGGATCGACGTCGATAAGGTCGGCGTCCGCTTCGTCAAACGGTTCGTCATCCTGAATTGTTTTAAACGATTTTACGTTTGTAGAGCTTCTATCGGTGTTGAACGAGATATCTTTGGATAGTTTTAGTTCCTTCCAGTCGAAATTGGGTGTACGGAAAGGCAACGCGTGCTCCATGATGGACGTTAATTAAAGGTCCAGTGATTAACAGTCCTTCTTTGTATTATATGGTTAAGTCCTGAAATGTCGAGGTACAATTAGCTAAGGGTATTTTTATATGTTGATGAACTATGTTTATACAATTATGAAGATGACAGGTTCTTAGGGAATAATTTATCGTTTACATAATATTAGTTTCATTTAGTGGGCCTAAATTTAATGCTCAGAAGGATTCAGAAATATGAAGGATAATAATATTATATAGTGCAGATAGTTTCTCAATGCTGTTCTGTATCTTATGTATGCATTATTTTTTGTCTCCGGCCTAATTAATAGTGTACAAATCCTAACTAGAGACTATTAATATTTAATTGTAAAAACTATATTTTCTTCCAAATTTGTTCAATTTTGACTGTACATGCTTAGTTGAGACATTAAGAAGCCAACTTACTCTATCACGTCATATAAATTAGCTCGGAGTAAATAAAATGAATACATGATGACTTTCTTATTTCACAAATAAACACAATTATATATTAAGAACTTGAAACATTAGAAATTGTACAGTTAAAGATTGCTAGCCAATTATGTCGAGATTGTAAGGTCTCCACAAGCATACTTAATTTAATATTACTCTCCGTGACCTATCCGCCATTCGGAGAAAAGGGTTACAAATAATTGTCAAAAAATTCAAAACACCTTTTTTTATTATTTAGTTTTTGGTTTCGTATTTTAAGAGATTATTTTTTTTGTATTGATAATTTGGAAATGTCAACTTTCTAACCTTAATTTATGAAAGATAAATTCCACTGTAGTTTATTGTATATACTTATTTTTTTATTCCTTATTTTTAAATTACTACTGTGAAATTTTATCGGGTCACCTTAACAATGGTACAATATTAGTTACAGGATATACTTTAGATAGATACACGTTTGAAGTAGGTAATTTGTTTATTTACATTTCACGTTCCCCAAATATATTTTACCCATTTTCCCACACAATCGTACCTTATTGCTAATTGTTTTGAAAGTATACTTACTTTTTTCTGCATATACTCTGGAAGGATAAATCCAAAGCACCCTGGGGAGTTTTCTGTAAATGGTTGAAAAGTGTTACAATCTGACGCAACTTAGGAATATTTCTGCTGAGAAAGAATTTGATAAAGGTTATCTTAACGAGAACATTACTTCAGTTTGGAATTTGCTGTGCGTGGTATTTTTTACTCTGTATTTGATAGTATTCTGTACATTATAGTATACTAAGGGCTATTATGTCATCCATGTAAACATGTTTATAATGTTTTCAAATAATTATTATTAACATTCCACCAATGCGGATATATATTGCTTTTGTTTATTATATAGATTTTTTTACAGACTGCTAGTTAGGAAAAAAACCCTTCCTTTAGGAAACTTTTAACGGAATAAACAAAACTCATTCAACTTTTAATACGTCTACTAGACTTTTAATTCAATAAGTTAAATGGTTCTTTTGCTATGTTCTCAATCCAAAAATTGGTTAAGTTTGTAATTATTGTTAGTATATCAGCAGTAGATTCAATTAATGAAAATCATTGGTATAGCTTTTACGAAAATTCAAAATTGGGACCTGATGAACTTGGCTTTTAATAAAATAGCCAATGTTATTGGTCGTGGTCAATAACAAGGCCATTCCCGGCGATTCGCCCTCGCTTAGCTTAAGTTCAGCTAAATATATGCAACATCTAGTCGTTGCCTTACTAAAATTATAAATTATGATGACAAAGTAAAATTTTTAAAATCTCATTCTAAATAAAGCAAAACATAACGCTGACAAAACGAGGTATGTGTAAGTAAAACACACAGTAAAAAAGTATTACTATAATTAACCTTCAATCTCGACCATATCCCCAATAGTGATCAAACCATTTTTTTTTTCTTTCTATTTAACCAATCACAGAACTTGGTGCTTCAGAGTACAGTAAAGGCAATGAGTATGAGTATGGTTTGTATTAACTGGTAAAGGTCTAGTAATGACAATAAAACTAAAAACAACAGGTTCATACAAATTAAACTAATGCAATTCCAAAATAACTAAACAGTTTTTTTTTCAAGTCTACAAGTGTTACCGGTTTTTTGTTCTTTGGTATTAAAAATAAAAATTATTAATTTTTTAACAAACAAATATGAAAATGCCTCTCTCTGTCTCTTTCTTATAACTCTCTAAAAACAATTGTTTCCTCAAGGACAAGATGCCTCTTTTTAAGTGTAAATAGGTATTGTCAACTAGTTAGCTACTTGACTGGCTGAATTCAAATTTATTTTGCGTCACGAATCTACACTTCCTTAAATATACGAAATACTCTGTGTCAGTTAGGACCATCACCTATAGTGGATATTTTGTGACTTAAAGGGAAATAATTAATCTCTTACAACGGCCTGTTTGTACTTACAAACCACCCTTATCCATACTACATGAATTTAATGTCCATTTGGTTCTAGAAAGTCGAAACGGCACACGGAAGATTTCTCAGGTGCCGTTTGACGTCACTAACGCTGACGTCACTTTGAGGGAACACGAATACCGCAACGATACGATTTTAAACCATCGGCCTCGGTGTTGTAGTGGATAGCGTGGCGTGCTGATAATCTGGATGTACCGGGTTCGAATCCCGCCGGTAGCATTAATTTTTTGTCAACAATTTTTTCCATATCAGCAAGTTTGGTTGGTTTGGTTAGGTTATGACAGTTTAATTTTATAATTAAAAAATTGAATTTTTGGCATTTATAATTTTATTTTAGGAACAAAACTATTTTTTAGATTAGTAAACTTTAATTAGATTTTTCCATTATCAGCACGGTTGGTTAGTTTGGTTAGGTTATGATAGTTTAATTTAATATTAGAAAAATTATAAAATTTTCTTTTCTTGAGACGCAGCAGTTAGTGACGTCAGCAGTTAGTGACGTCAAACGGCACCTGAGAAATCTTCCGTGTGCCCCACCGCTATAAAGTTGTTTTAATAGTAGTTTATGTATGGTTAAATCCTGTTCGTCTAGCTACTATATGAAATATATAGATTACACTTTTCGGTTTCCGAAGGCTAAGGAAGTAATTTTATGGTTCTTCAATCCGCCTATATTATATAATGAAATACAATGGCGTTATTATCGAACCATAAAATTAACTTATGATTTTTCTTATAAATTGGAACATTAATTAATACAGAAATAAATACTCATTAAATTACTCAGTAAATAAATTGTGATCGATTCTACCGTATTGACGAAATTATGTTGCCACTGAAATGTATTTGAGTGGCTTTTGTATTGTTATAATACAAAATGTAATCGCTAAAAAGTCGCTATCAACATCAAACATAATACCGCAATTAATTAACTTGTTAAGCCATGTCACCAATCATGTTGATTTAACGTTCAAATTACATTTTAAGAGCTAAATTCAGTATTGTTTAGCAGAGCAGGTATATTATATGCCTCTTAGCGAATTTACCATGTAGTAAATAAACTATTAACGTAGGTCTCATGGTAAGAGCTGGACCCGGGACCGATTTCATTTTTCGTTTGAAGGTCCCCAGAGGTAAAAACACCAAAACATAAGATTTCCCAATTTTTCTCTAAATCATTTTGAAGGGCTAAAAAACAAAAAATCATTTGGTATAGCCTATTGAAATGTTATTACACAGTTATTTGTTACGGAAAAGTTTAATAAAACTTTAATTTAAATTTACCGTGTTATGCTTAAGGTGAACAAGTAAACCGTTGGAGTTTGTTTACAGATATATTTTTATCACAATTGGCAAATTATTAATGTATTTCATACGAAGTTATTATTATTTTGCTAAAACACAGTTTATTGTCCTCCCTGTAGCAGCAAACCTATGTACTTGTTAACAGATGTAATTAAAATTCCAATTAGGGACTTGGTAATTCACTTAGTCTGCAGGTTTGCTGTGGCGTGGGTATTTTGGTCATTTTGGGTATGTTAGATTCCCCAGTCCCCTCAAAGTGTTGCAGATCCACATGGTGGTTCAGGTCCCACTCGACTCTCCTGATGCAGTAAAGTGCCGGTGCACAATGATGTGTTTTCTGTACCTGAATCCTCCCGACGGTCTATTCCCGGACAATTAATTCCCCAGTCTCCTCATAGTGTTTTAGGTCCGCCAAAGTTGTTCTTGTTCGCATTAATTCCTCCACTTCCCCTGGCTGAAATTCTCTTGGTCCTGGCATTTCGACGACCCTTCGTTTTCCCTGGAACTGTTCGTGTATGTCCTTCTGGGTCGGCAAAGGAATTTTGTCCCCTACAAGTATAAAATACTACATAAAAATCATTGTAGCAACAAATAACGGAGTACAAATATTTACCAAGGGAAATACCGTACCAAACGGAAATAAACAGAGAGATTGGTTTTTATATTTATTTATTTGTGTCCATCTTTAACTTTGGTATTATGTGTTTTTTTTGTTTTTTTATATAGACAACGGTCCAAACCCAGGTCTTGTTACTATCTAACTTCAACCTATTGTTAGATACCATCATTAATTGATAGACAAATGAATGGCTCCCCGGAAAAACGTTCCAAGCGCCAGAATTAGAGTTTGCAGGTTTTTGATAGAAAAACGTTCCTCGTGCTTTTGTCCATCAAGTGGTGTCATCTTTTGGCCGATTTTATAACTAAAACATTGAATTATGGGTAGGGGAATTTGGCACACCCTGGAAGAACGTTCCTTGTGCAGCGCATTGGGCAGACAAGACCATGTCTTCACCGGTGTCAGGCCTTATTAAACAATTAAATAGAGGCAAAAAGCGAAAGTTAAACATAGATTTTTAGAAGAAGGAAGTTAAGAAGAGTCATAGAAATAGCGGGAAAGAGTAAAAAACTACAAAAATGAAGTAGTGCCTGAAATTGTACCTATTTCTGAGGTAAGTGGAAAAACGTTACTTGTGCTACAACGCACACTACAGTTGAACACTATAACCTTTGTGATCCAGAATATTTACCAGGACATAGGAATTTAATTTCAATTTCTAAATACTTATTTAGTAAATTACAACCTAGCTGTTGTCAATTTACTATTTACTGTCTTATATGTTATTTTTATTAAGTGAATCGGCTGATTTATTTCAGGATTTCTCATGTTCCTGCACGCACAAGGGCTGCAAGACTATACCTTTTGTGACTGACTATACTGTTGACTATACCAAGATAATATGTTTTTTTACAAGATTTTGTGTGTTCTTTTAGTGAAATAAATTGAAATATTGTAAAATTAAAAGTCCCAAGCACACAAACAATATCAGCTTAATACAAAGGCTAAGGGTTATGTAGGCTACGTTTCGTTAACAAGATATTGTGTATTCTTTTAGTAAAATAAAATTCAATATTGTAAAAAAAAATCTTCCACTTGCAGTTTGAGAATTTCTGTATCTACCTCAGCAATAAAAAATAATGAATTATTGCAGCTATTAAAACTTTATTCTTTACAAAACGTTCCAAACGCCAGTATTGTAGAGTGCTATGTTTCAGTAGAAAAACGTTGCTTGTGCATATCAACTACGCCCAAGCAACGTTTTTCCACTACATTTACACTTAAAATGTCAAAAGCCTAATAATTTGGATTTTTACTTGAAAAAAAACCTAATGACATTGTTTCGACTACTGTAGACCTATCAAGTACAATCTAAAAAAATCCAAAAATAATCTTTAAAAAAATACTCTCTTAACGTTTTTTTAAGTTTCTGTAAAGTATACAAAACGGCGCATGGAACGTTTTTCCAGGGAGCCATTCAAATGTCAAATGAGACGTGGGTCTGGAAACGATCTCGTTTGTATCTAACTAGCAGCCTTCAGATTTTAAGGCCCAGCATTATAACCACAAGCTCATAAAACTATATCATAACAATTAAATGATCTACGTTAAAGACTAATGGTATCTTGACGGTGTATTTAGATTTTAAAATTGTGTTACATAGTTAAAATATTATGTTTTCTATTTTGTGACATTTTGTTTCATGTATGAGCCAAATCTTAAGCTTTTTAAACAATATCCGTAATTAATCCTGGTGATGCATAATTATGACATTTCGATAATGTTGTTTTACAAAAATAAATTCACCTACTTCCACAAAAGTTGAACTAACAGCGGCAAAACTTTTACTCAACGTTATTATCATGCAGTTCTACCATCAACAGCGACCACATAGTACAAATCAACCACTAGTGTGAATTTATCTACAACTTAGAATCGACAACGAAACAGTTTGTAAGGTGAACTCACATTTAGCCTCTTCCTCGGGGTCCCTGGGCCAAGGCTTGTTCATGTTGCCTATCACCTCGATGGAGTCTTCCTCTGGAACCTGCAGGCCCGGCACTAGGGGCCACCACATGTCGAAGGGGGGCTCCGGCAGCGGCCTTACATGGAACACTGGGTCCCTTTGTATCCCGGGACCCTTAATCTTAGTCGGACCATCACCACTGCACTTGGGCTTCTGCCTTCCTTGAATCTTTTTGAGCAGCTCTTTTTTGCTTGTTGCCTTTTTTATTTCCAGACCTTCGTCTGGGTTGGATCTCAACAATGATTCGTGGTCGTGGTTTTCCCTTGGGACGCTAAAGTATTTCTCCAGTGCAGCTAAAATCTCGTACCCGGTTTTTATTTTGAACCCGGGTAGCAGCACATTGTAGGGAACTACTTTCATTTCACTAAATCTTATTGGTATAATTTCCTTTGGTGAGGATCCAACAGTTGGTTTAGTATTTTCATTATTTGACATTTTAATGCTCTTTTTGTTTGGTTCGTGTGACGGAACATCACTTGTAGATTGTATCTTGGAGAAACCATGATTTTTTCTGTTCTTGTTCTTTTGTTTCTTTTTTCGACCCATTGTGCAACAAATTATCTTAAATTTAAGTACGGTTTTCCTGCACTCAACTAATTCAGCTTAATTTAAATGGTGATTTTAAAAACAGATATAAATTTATTTTTTGAAATTTAGATGAAATAAAAAGTGGCAACAATTAGCAAAATTAAATATTTTTTGCTTTTTCATAGACATAATTGATTTAACACTTTTTATTGTTCCAAATCGTTCAAAACATTAATTGTAAAGTTAAGTTATTTGATGTCATTGAATGTCGCAATTTGTATATCATTACAATGAATATATTTCACGGTTATCTTGCATCAATAACTTATTGTAATAGCTGCCAACACAGATGCGCAATGACAGCAGTCTCAAAACTCCTAGTGTAGTGTGAATCCTCTAATTTGTTTACATAATGTTTAACATCAACTAGTCAATATGTAAAGTGAAACTGCTTGCATTTGTTGTGTGAAGTTTCAGACTTGAGGCGAATTTTGTTGACTTATTGTAGGAAACTTGGGAATTTTTTTTTATGGCTAATATATCTATGAGATACCTAGTAGCCTTTGAATTATATTAAGATATGCAATGCTAAAAGGGTAACCCAGATTGAAAAATAAAAAATATTACAGTTTATTTATCACGACTGTTTAGTACTACCGAACTTTAAATTTTCAGGTAAATTATTTGCACTTGCATCTATGTTACATTTCTTCTGGTATTTTTATTGATCATGCTGGAACATACTTAATACTACACTGTCTCTTAAATTTGAATTATATAACTGCGCGAACCTTTAACTAAACACCGTGTATTTTTGCAGGTACTAAGCTACTTACCATCAATTTGCTACGCCACAAAGATCCCCCCAGATACTTAGCCATGTCTATGTCTGACTTAGAGAACGATCCCCGGTATCCCTGGATAAAAGTGGAACATCGACCTCCTTCGCCGAAACCCAAGAAAAAGAAGGATCCGAACAAGAAACCCAAAGATCTCAACAAGGGACCGATCCCCACCGCCTACAGGGTCAGGTGTGTTACTATGTTGGTATCTATTTTAATATTGATTTTAAGAGATAGTTTATTCCAAATATCGCCCGCCCACTAAGTCACTCACGACTTCCACCCGGTGTTTTTTGACGACTCGTCTCATAGTAACACTACACGTTGTCGGTTGCAGAATAGCTAAGGACGGGACCAAGTGGCACTCTATTATAGACATCCTCAGACCCAACAGTCCACCCGTGGAGTGGCCTGAGTACCCTGACCGACCACTTGAAGACGACTTCCCTCAAGGTTTGTGATAAACACTAACTGTATACCAAAGGTCAAGTCCACCGTACAGTACGGTTTCAAAAATCTACACATTTACAATATTATGGTCAAAGTTATGAATAAGGTGGGTTGAAACTGCAATACCAGTGAAAGTATATTGGCCACAATCCAAGTATGTACTTTTAGAAGTGGAGTATTAGTTTTATAATAATACATAATGCTACACTAGCACTATTATCTCAACTAATTGGCTTTAAATAGCTTTCTACACTTGCTTACTACAATCCAAAGCAGTTTTTAACCCTTAATAAGTATTTAACTGTTTTTATAGCAAATCTTCAAATTGTGTTTCATGTACGAGAGTATCTTTTAGTCAGAACACCTGTATTTTACAGGTATGAACACCTATTTTGAACAACTCTCCGACTGGGACCTCGAAGATCCTGAATGTGTCATTAAAAAATTGGGAATACCAGAAAGGGAGAGATTCAAACTCCGCAAGAAGAAGAAGCGCAAAATGCCTAAAGACTTAGAGAAACTAGAGGCAAAACTCAACGCACCGGACGAATTTCCTAACGGGCCTCCTTGTGGAATTCCAACGTACGTGGAAAACCCAGAATTGATAGAGGATGATAGTTCTTACGATAACGACACATTTGACACAGTAGGGCTATACCCGGCGACGGGTTATGGGGGAGGATTGACTGACAAACCCCCAGAAGACGACTCCTACTACCCGGAGTCCGGAGAGATGGACGTGGACTCTGGTGAAATCAGCTCCTATGGGTATAACATGGACCGCGAAAAGATGTGGAAGGAACTACAGGCGATATAGACGGGGGTAGTAAACACCCTTTCAGTATGCTGTTCCTGTAAATCATTTAAATTGACTATGGACATAACTATTTGGTATCCCATTTGGCAGTTGACAATATAACATTGTTTTAACCGGGAAATTCAGGTAGACGCCGAAAAAGGGTTTGTACTCTTAAAGGTCCCTCCCAGGCGCATCAAAAAGGGCTTTAACACTTCCTAGAACATTTTTCACGTGTTAATTGACAAAGGATAAAGAAACAACAGCTCAGATGACATAAATATACATAAATGTATTTATACCCTTTACACTATAGGCCAGCAAATAAGGCGAAGACTTGACCGCTCGACATATCTTGTTCCATTGCTTGACGAAACGGAGCACCTGTTGTAATGCTTAGTTTAGGCATAGCAATTATATGTCGAATGAATTAACCTTATTTCAGGAATTTTATTTTTAATCATAACCTATAAGACCAGTGTATCATTTGCTTTTTTGAGTTGCGAGTAAAAAGGTATGACTTAAAATTTTATGGTAAAAAAGTTAGTCTTTAAGAAACCTATGCTTTACATCTGTGTTGGTAATAGAGTTTTCTATGTTTCAATTCCTTGCAAGATTTTATAATTTTCCATATATTATAGTTAATTAGGACGTCATTTTAGTCCAGCACTTGTTTCAATGCTTTTTTTTACATCTGAAAATGCATGCCAAATATCAACATAATATGTATTGTTCAAATAAGTGTAAAATTTTAAAATACGAATTTTTCTTTGTTCCCCACTAGTTTCTAATATTCTTGCTCCACAATCAGTAACAATTTTATAGTGTAGTTGGCTAGTTAACTTGTTTATATACGTCTGCAATTATTCTTTTAGCGAACGTCGTTATAGAGAAGTAGCTATTACCGTAGATGGCACGGTAAGACCTAGAACTGGGGCAGATTTTCATTTTAATGTTTCTAGATGCTAAAAAAAACCATTCGTAAAAATGTCTATATACAGAGTGTTTCAACATACAGCTGTTGGATTACTACTGAATGACGTGTACGTTTGAGATTGTGTATTTTTCGAGACACAATCGGTGTATTTGCATAAATTGACTCTAAAATAACATAATTTCGTGATTAAATTATCATTTTATAAAAATTTACAGTACACTAGTTTAGTATATGGCTAACAGATCTCTATTGAACATTTAACCAGAATAAATTAATAGTTGGGAACTGCTAAGTACCCATTGTAAACCAATTTAATTTACACTGAAATATAATCTACAATAATTTCATAGTTACATGAGTTAATACTGCTTCCTTTAGCCACACGAAATTTTAATTAATAAATTGAAACATTCTAGTAGGAATTTATTACAAACTGGTATTATCTTAAGGTTTATTCGCTTAAGCGTATTTTCAAGCAGGACCCTACTTCATGATTTTTATATCCAACTCCTCGTCCCTCAAACTTGTAATGAGATCGTTATTTATGATTCAATAGACATTTCAACTATGTCAAAAAGCCTATTTCAGCGAATTTCCTTATAGCGAAGTAGCTATTACAGCAGGTGGCACAGTAAGACCTATGCCCGGGACCGATTTTCTTTTTCATTTTGATGTCCCTAGAGGCGAAAAACAACGTTCGTTCAAATTTGTATATATTTTTATATTCCGTGAACGCGATAACTTGAGTAATTTTTGTCTGATTTTGATGAAATTTTGTTTAAAGGTGTAAGGCAGAATAAACTTGAATGAGTTCGCAAATCAGCATTATTGGACGATGGAAACGGTTTTTTACGGGGGGTTTATGGGGTAAAAAATAGTTTTTCTCATTTTTGACCCTCAAACCACAAAATTGCCCAATTTGTATCTAGACCTTTTTAAAGAGCTAAAAAAACATACTTTAGTATAGAAAAAAGTTTTGTACGGTTATTAGAAACGGGGAAAATTCTAAAAATTGTAAATTTAAAATTCCCTATTCCTATGGAGAATATTGTAAAATGTTGTAGTTTGCTTGCTTATGGATATATTTTGATCTAACCTGGCAAATTTATTTATTTTATACTAAGCTCTATTAATATTTTACAAAAAAAATACACTTTATTAGTTTCCTTATAGCAGCAAACCTAGATAATCATTAGATTTAATTGCAAATCAATTCAGACAAATTGAAATTCACTTATTCGGCAGGTTTGCTGCGGCGAGGGTATTTTCTTTATTTTTTTATATACGTAGTTTTTCCAAAATGCAGAATTGCCATTCCAGCTGTTGTCACGCACGGGTTATCCTGACATAAACTACACATTGGAGTTGACAGCTGGACAACAGTGAAGCAGAGTGGTCAATACAAGACTGGAATTTCAAGTAAGGGAGCAAACACACTGCAAAAACATACCCTTTGTAGCTACATTGTTTTGTGGGAGGAAGCTGTGTTGTTTGTTGCTATACTCTCCCCTTACATCCTAGTCCCTGACCAGGAATCATTTTACACATTATTTTAAACTAGGTCTTGAGACTTGCGAAATTATTAGATGAAGGTAATGATATTTATAGGCATACCTAATGGATGCGATGCTCCCTGGTGTGGATTAACGTCCGCACTAGTGAGTACTACGACTATCCGCAGTATTATCCTGATAGACCAATTCTTTATTTACAAGGAAAAGATTAGGATTGCACTATAACTTGTCCCTTAGTTGCCATTGGCAGTGTTATAACAGCTGAGTCTAAGGAACATGTCGGCCTTAGTAACTAAAAAGACTACAAGATCACGCCACTCATCCTTCACTCATATTTGGGTTAAAATACGCACATAGTGGCATCCCCATCTTAAATAATTGATTGACATTTTTTGAAGCTGGAACTACGTGGCCGAAGACTTTCGTGCGCTGTTCCTCAAACTCATTACTACTGGTGCAGGAATTCTACTATCTAGAATAACACGACAGAGTGGAACTATAATTTAACCATCTTCATATTCATGTTGCAAAACATTATTTGTGAAGTAAGAAGTATGATTAATGCACTGTAATTTGTATAACTACTCAAGGATCTAGTACAATTTATAAGGGTAAAATTACCTAATTTCAATGTTTATATCCCATCACATTACTACCATGCATTTGCTGTGTGATACTTATTTATAAAATTAACTATAAGTTTTCCTATTCACTTCAACTATATCTAACGTTATATGCTAACTCAAAGGACGAATTGGACTTTAGTTTAACCCAACCAGACTAAAATATTCAGTGGGTAGGTTCATTGAGTGGGTGGACCAGCGAGTTGTAAATTTCACTGGCTATGTTAGGACTACTGTATCAACCATATTACTCAGAGTTTAACAAGTGAAGCCAACAAACTACAACTTAACATTCTTGCAGGCAACAATTAGCTGTATGAAAAGCTTTTAAATAAATCGGAAATTTAACAAGTTACAAAACTTACCAACATTTACATAAATATATTTTTACCGTTTTTCAACTCTCACTGTCTGTCTCCATACACCTAATCTGTGAGGTGATATAAAGACTTTTGCGTTACTGTAAAAATCAGAAGTGTAAGTCAGTGTTGACGGTGATAATTTGTAATATTTTCTATTTACTGTAGTTAATGTTCTAGCCAATCATCAGCCGAACTTGTATTGCGAAAATCTATCAAAGATTTGTGTTCAAACCAAACAATCGAAACATAACAATACAAATTGGCGAACGGAACAGAGAAGAAAAATGCAAAACCTCTTAAAATATACAGCTATCTTCTCTTTAATGTTATTTTACCTGAAAGTCAAACACTGTCTAACGAGTAGATTAGATTAATGTAAAACAATGTATACAAAACATTTTACTAGATCTAGCTCCTTAAAATTACGAATCTAAACAGAAAAGTGTTTTAACCATCGTAAAATTATTCCTTGTTCAAAACAAACCTCGAAAAGACCAACATAGCTGCAACACCCTGGCTAATTTCCTGAGGGACAGAGTAAATAACTCGCAGTACTTTGTCTGCAAAATTCACAGACCAATTTCGCTGAGAGTACAGGATTGAGATGGCGGTAAATTTTGGTTAGTGTAGTGGCAACACTGTACATCTTCTCTGCCACCGTTAGTTCAACAGGTAGTGCCAACGTAACACGTGAAATATCTCTTCAAACGTGCAACGTACACATAGCCTCCTAGATGAGGGTTATATATAGTTATCTTACATACTGTGCATGCCAACGTATATGCCAATTCTATCGAGTACTTTTTATAGACTAGTGAAACTAAAGTTTAAACTATTTTACACACATTTTACTTGGGATAAAATATTCAACACTATTAGAATTATTTTATATTTTTACACCAATAGCTTGTTAATATGTACACTTTACATGCATGACTATTTAACTATTCACTAGCTAATGAAATAACCAACACTAAACACAGTATACAACACGAAGAAGTTTTTTTTATCCATTATGATTATGTTAGAAGTAGTGTAGTACAGCTATTACCGTTGGCTTAGTTAGTATTGACCTGTAATATTCTACAACAAAATGTAAACTTATTTACATTCTACTACTATTAAACACTAGCATAATAGATTGATTATTATTTTCCAAAACACGTTAGAATTAGCCATTCCACACAGCTCACTATTTCATTGTCTGTCAAGCTTATATTATCTTAGCCAAATACATCACAATTATTGCAAATACAGAAATTGCAGAATGTTAATTAAGACATATATTTTCCCATATTATTTTGAAACAATCTCCATTTCTGTTTACTTTTCTTTTTTTTACTCTCACTGCCTGTCTCAATACACCTAATTATCCGTGAGGTGATATAATGACATTTGTGTTACAGTTAGACAAGCTAGACAAACTATCGCTATTTATAATTTTACAATAGTGCAAGATTCACTATTTCAATATAGAATAGAATAGAATAGACTTTATTTCCAAAAATGCTACAGATAATTACAGTTTTGATTTACAACAGTTAAAAATGTACAACTAATACAAAGAGTATAATTAACATATTATAACATCCTGGAAATATACTATACTGTGTTTTCGGTGTTTTTAGGACCTCTGAAGGTCC